TCCCTCTCTCTACAAACTCGGACCCGAGGATAGGGGCTGGTCTTGTACCAGGCACCCAAGGACCCTTGGAGGTGACCCCGAGGAGAGGTTTTAAGTGTGATAAAGTCTTAATAGCTTGAGTTTATTAGGCCCTTACAAACCAACAGGGACGAGGCGCACGAGGGCGCGAGGAAAAGGCGGCGCACGAGGGCGCGGCTAGCGGAAACGGTGGGCCCTAACGTTCCGGTCCTAGGTGGAACCTAGGCTCGTAATACCATGTGAGAATGAGAACAGGAATGTGTGTGACTAGCAAGAACAACAGTACAAATATGAAACCCTAAACTGTGTACCCCCTATGGGTGACCCACTACACCTAGAACCACACAAACATATAATGTTTGACACCACCTGCTTCCGTCACTCCCTGGACCAACACTTTGACGCTGCTCGTTCCCTTGACACACTTATGTCAGTAGATCTGCACGCAGATCTACTAACAACTTAAGCGCGAAGCATAGTGGCTACTATGACAGATTTAGTTTGAAGCGGCGTTTTCAAAACTCCCTTATAGTGATAGACCGTCGATATCCCATCGTAGAATACAGATGCAGAACCCTTTCGAAACCGGCTCAACCTGTTGAATGTATTCGTATACATTTATAAATCCTACAGTAGAGTTTAGTGTAGTTATATAGTTTCCTGCCTGGTGGTGCACCATTTGCCCATTTCCTTGACTATATCTTGTATGCCTTCTATTATTGAAACACCTTTTTCTCCTTCCACAACTTACTCGACATTTCCTTACACCCCACACCCTCGAACTTCACCAAGTCACCTAAGCTACTATGGCTCTAAGCCAAACTCGTTCTAGACTTCTTGACACAACCCTTCCGCGCGATTTGCAACTTTTCTCCTCCTACAATTACCATGACACGTGCAACACCTAACCAAGCAATGGAGGATGAACAGGCCGGTCGCGTCGCGACGAGAAGGACTTTTAAACAAATCGATAGGGAGTATGGGGGCGGCGCTAAAAAAACTAATGTTCTGTCGCTCCTGGCATTGGGAAGAAAAAAGCGGGCGGCAAAAAAAGGTCGCGCGCCAGGGTCAACAGGAGGCCGGCAAGAAAGCGGAAGACAAGGGCCCTAAACCAACGCCACGCAAGCGTGTTTCTACAGTGAACAAAGATGCTGATGTTGCCTCTGCTGGAACCGAGCCCGGTCCGAGTAAGACGGCACACTGGCGGCAACAAAGATCCGGGGCGAGGGAGCGCGAGTCTTGCGCTCCCGTCGGCGGGGATGGAGGGATCGGCGACGGAGGAAATCATGGAGGCGATCCCCGCCCGAGCATGCCGCAACCAAGGAGTCCGAGGCGGCGGCAACGCAACACCATCTGACGCTGCTCCACCAACCGTGGTCGAATTTTCTGCAACCGTCTGGATAAGGACAAGATGGGGAGCACGAGTTGGTGGGGCTGGTCGGTGGCTCTCCACCTTCTGGTGGACGGGGAGGCGTAGCAGAGGAAGAGCGTGGGGAGGACGATTATGACACCGCCGTGCCCGGGGACCACTAAACGCAGGCAAAGAGGCTGCAGACGACAGATAGTGCTGACGACGCCGGAGGCGCGGTAGTTGGGACACCGCGAGGCGCCATGGAAGCTAGTGGCAAGGCGGGCGGTCAGCATTGCCCAGAAGGCCGACCCCGCAGCAAGAAAAGCATCCGGGGGAAGGAGAGGCAAGAAAGCAGCGACCGGTAACAAAGCCGAAACGGGGCGATGAAAACCCCGGTGATGCGGAGGAGGAGGATGAGGAGAGGATGTGGAGGGAGAGGAGGATGAAGAGGAAGCGAAGGAGGATGACGTGGATGTTGGGGAGGATGAAAAAGATGAATGATGGCGGGGAGGACTAAGAGGAGGAGGAGGAGGAGGAGAGGAGGAGGAGGAAGGAGGAGGAGGAGGAGGAGGAGGAGGATGAGGAGGAGGAGGAGGAGGAAGGAGGAGGAGGAGGAGGGGAGAGGAGGAGGCAGAGGAGGAGGAGGAGGAGGAGGAGAGGAGGGAGGAGAGGGGAGAGGAGGAGGGGAGGAGGTAGAGGATGAGGAGGACGAGGAGGACGAGGAGGAGGAGGAGGAGGAGGGAGAGGAGGAGGAGAGGAGGAGGAGAGGAGGGAAGGAGAGATGAGGAGTATGAGGAGGAGGAGGAGGATTATGAGGAGGTAGTTTGAGGAGGCGGTGAGGAGCAGGTAGCCTGTTTACAACGAGGAGGAGGATGTGGAGAACTAGGAGGAGGAGGAGGAGGAGGAGGAGGAGGAGGAGGAGGGCGGAGGAGAGGAGGAGGCAGAGGAGTAGTGGAGGAGGAGGAGTAGGAGGAGGAGGAGGAGGGAGGAGGAGATGTGGCGCCAGTGAAGGGATGGGGCGGGCGTGGCAGAACGGGTGAGTGGTACAGGGAAGGAGGGGGGCCGGACCCGCCCTTCCCTAAAACGGGGCACTTGACGCTGTGCGCGGCGAAGCATCGGGCAAACGAAGGCGCATAGGTGAAGGTCGAAAGTGAAGGGGTTGGTAAAAACAAGGGAGCCAGGGAGCAAAAGGGGATGGAGAGGAAAGGGTGGCCGCGCCAAAGGGTGTCCAGTGCCGTCCAGCAAGAAAGAACCTGCTGGTAAACGTCGCAGCGTCCGCCAAAGCACCTCGCGGAAAGGTGGCAACGAGAAGGCGCAGGCTGCCCCAAAACCAAAGGGACAGCAGAAGGTGAGCATTGTGTCCAATAAAACTGGCGTGACGTGTTGAACCATCTGCTAAACAGTGCCAAAAAAACACCCTTTTTTCAAATTGTTTCTCCCATGCAGGGAAGGAGAAGGTCGACGATCTGCCAAGCAAGGTAAACCCTCTTGTCTCAAACCAGGACAACCTTGAACCCGATCTAGATTCAAACCTTTCTGAATATGCATGCATGTCTGGCCCCGCCTTGAAACCGATCGACTCTATTTTTTTTTTTTCCGGCTCCCTCTACATCTCAGCCCATCGCGGTACAGGCATTGGGCCGCCCGTAAGCGTGCAACGAATGCATCTAACGAAGGCTGCCAAAGCGAGTGTTACACACCGCTCTCTTCAAGCACCAGGTACTACACGCCGTTCCAGGGCACCAATGGGCCGGCCCGAGCATAGCGCTGCGACGGCACCAGGCGCGCCAAGAGGAGAGGAATCCGAATCCCCTCCACCCGCCCCCGTCACGCAGTCCCCACTCGCCTCACCCTCGTACCAATTTCGGCAACTCCACGCTTCTCCTGTCCGGGGCAGGGCGGTCTCCTCTCCTCGCCATCCTTCGCGCGGGGCATCAGGCAGGCAGTTATGCCAATCCCTTCCCTGAGCTCCCCTTTCCTGCCAGCGTGATACTATGAGGGAACACGGGACTGCTGCAGAAGACGTTGATGGCATTGGCCAGAGGGGGATTCTTCACACTCTTTTCCTCCGCTCATGGGTGCCCTAGGTGAAAGTGCGGAGCACGAGCGTTTGTTACACGGGAGGAGTTCCACGCGCTGCGGTCTGAGATGTACGCCATGTTTGCCAGCTCGGCCTGCGTCGTGGAGTACCTGCCAGCTATGCCGGCGGGTCGGCAGCCCTGCCTATGGCTGGTACCCTGGTCCCCCCGCCGCCGATGAGCGCCGTGGACAAGGCACGAGTGCTAGTGTTGTAGGAGACAAACCCATTCCTGGTATGTGGCGGGCCACCTGGGGAGGGTTGGGGTTGACGTGGCAACAAGGGCGGGGTTGGGGCTGACGTGGCGTTTTCGAAGGGAACACGGGTGGGCGCGTGACGAGGCGACGCGTATCAGGTGGGTGGGGGGTGACGTGGCATGGGGTGGGTGGGTGTGACGTGGCAAGTGGCGCGGGTTGTTGGTGGACGTGGCGGATGCGGGTTGGGTGTGACGTGGCAAAGGTGAGGGTTGGATATGAGGTGGTGGTGAGGCATTTCCGGTGGGTGGGGGGTGACGAGGCTCTTGGTGGGGGGTGTGACATGGCAAGTAGGGAGGGTTTTGGCGCATGCTGGGGGGTGTGACGTGGCAGAATGTGAGGGTTGAGGCTGACGTGGCGGTTTGGAATGGTACACGGGAGCGGCGCGTGACGAGGCGACGCGTGTCAGGTGGGTGGGGGGTGACGTGGCATGGGGTGGGAGGGTGTGACGTGGCACGTGGGGCTGGTTGTTGGTGGACGTGGCAGATGCAGGAGGGTGTGACGTGGCACGTGGGGCTGGTTGGCCAACGTGGCGGACAAGGAGGGTGTGACGTGGCGGAACGTGAGGGTTGGGGATGACGTGGCGGATGCAGGTGGGTGTGACGTGCGGAAGGTGAGGGTTGGGGATGACGTGGCGGTTAGAAATGGTACACGTGACCACTGCGCATGACGAAGCGAGGCGTGTCAGGTGGGTGGGGGGTGACGTGGCTTGTGGTAGGGGGTGTGACGTGGCAAGTGGGCCGGGTTGTTTGTGGACGTGTCGGATGGCGCAGGGTGGGACGTGGCAAATTCAAACAGTGTTGCTAGTCACCATCCCATGGTCACGCGGCCACCCTCATAACTGCTGGTTTCTCTCTTCCATGTCGTGTTGTATACCTTACACCCCTGCGCAGAACAATGCCTACTTAGTGTGCTCTCAGCTCATGTTTCTGAACCCGCCGGAGAAAATACAGTACTACCTTGCACCGGAGGAAGTGTTCGAAGCGTTCTCTGTCCACTTGTCTGCAGAAGGGCTCGAGGCAATGAAGTTGCTGTGGTTGCACAATGACAAGTCAACCATGGGAGTCTTCAACCACCAGCTGTCCTCAACAAGGTCAACTATCAACTCCACCCTCAGGCCAGCAGCATACACCGGCATGGGCCTTGCCAATTACAGCCATCTCGTGGATAGCCTGCCCACTGAGCTACACCCAACGACCTGGTTCGACAACGGTCAACTCCTAGCCGAGTACAGAGATGGTATGTGCAGTGCAACTCAAAAACACAATATGCCCTACCATATGCCCCTTGGCAGCTACATATCACCGTGCGATGTGGCTCACCCTGACTCTCATCCCCCCATTTGATTTCTCTACAAAACCCTTTCCAACCCATACCCTCCCTGCCAAAAGCAGAATAGTGGGCCCTCAACTGGCACTTTGACAAGGCCACCGGGACACCCTTCACCAACCCCTTGTTCGCTTATGCGTTCAAACTCTCCTTCAAGAGGGGCGGGGCGGTGTTCACCAAGTTCAAGAGCCGCATGGTGGCATGGGGCCTGTTTTCGGTAAGGATGTGGATATGTGTTTGTACCCCCATGCCTCATCCCCTTAACCCCTTCCCTGTACTTCAGCAAAAACCCTGGTCGATTAGGCCTTTGTAGTTACGTAGATAGTGACGACTGCATCACCGCTTTGAGTTGCCTCAGTTACCCGTAACCTACCCTCCTCATGAACCATCCACCCAACCCTACACCACATTGCAGATCGAATGGCCCCTTCTGCAGGATAAGCGTCGCAAGCGAATCAGTAGCCAGCCGGAGCAGAACAGGCCAAACTACCGAGAGTGGTGCGGAAAGGTCAAACAAATGATCCATTTTGCTGTCGTGGAGCGGAGGATCCCCCACGATCCGGCTATGGGTGCGTTCGTCTTTCCGAACAAATTCCTCATCGACGACGGCGACCGAGATGTCCGTGCTTGCCCACCGGGCACTTTCAAGGCCCGCCAGTGCGTAGGCTATTTGACCTGGTGCTAAGACTGCTTGTTGCTAGAATGCTGAACAATGGTTATTGTAAACTGCAAAATAAAATGCAATTTTGATATCCTCAATATCCGAAATGAACAAAAAACAGAATTTAGTTCTGAATAATTTGGTCACTAATTTGCAACAAAACGGATTGCGCGCCCGAATGTCATCCGGGAAAAGCTCGCGTGCCAAATTGGAACTTGAACCGAGCCAAACCTTGTTGCGAGATGTGTCCTCGGAGCTCCTATCAAATTGACTCCAACTGTCGGTCCAAATTGGCTCCAGATTTGTTTACCAGCGAAGACAATCGAAATCAAAATTCGTCCAAACTTGGCATAGGGTTTTTATGATGTTCAGCCTTGGTTCCGGCTCTGTTTCGTGGCGGTCTACCCGCTCGTCTTCTGTTCTCGGCTTCAGCTGTGAGCTGAGATCTACGCGGGGGCCATGGCTGCAGAGGAGCTACGTTGGCTCACCTACCTGCTGACTGACCTAGGAGAGCCGCCTCGTTCTCCTCCAGTTCTGTACGTAGACAACAAGGTCATGCTGGCCTTGTGTCGGGAGGACAGACTGGAGCACAGAACGAAGCACATTGCTCTCCGCTACTTTCTTGCTCGTGAGCTGCAGCAGGGTGGTCAGCTGCGCCTTGCTTACGTGGCCTCTGAGGCCAACATTGCTGATATCTTTACCAAGGCAACTTCCGCCTTGTGATCATCAGCGCTTCTGTACGATGCTAGGTCTGTTAAGTAACGAGCTTAAGAGGTATTTGAGAGTTTAGGCGGCCTAGGCTTAGTAGCCTAGGCCAAGGAGAAGTCGAGTGGTTTGTGCCAAGGGAGAGTATCGAGAATGGGAATGGGTGTTCACTATAGCAAGAGAGTACATATAGCAAACAAGTGAAGAAAGAGGTGCACCACCTATAAAGTCATATCTACACTACAGCTAGAACTACATGCAGGTATAAGAATATAATTCTCACATCCCCCCGTAACTGCATGCAGGAATAGCTAAGTGCAAAACACATCCTGCAGAGCTACACCAGAGACTGATAAAACAGCAACAGCAGGTACGGTAACAGAGCAGGTACAGCAGGTCGACAACAAGAAATTCCTGCCACCCCCTTACCCTCTCCCCCCCCTACCACAGGAGGGGCAGCAGGGAGAGTGAGGAGGCGGGTTGGCTCTGGCTGGTCACCCCCTCCATCTCCTCCTCACCCTCCCCCTCCCCCTCCCCCCCACACTACTGCAGGAGCAGCAGAGGGGGGAAGAGAGGAGAGGTGGAGGGACGGCTGCTGGTTGGTCTCACACCCGCCACCCAAGTGCCACTCCCCTGCTCCCCCACACCCTCACACCCTCCCCCCAGCGGCAGCTGCAGCAGTGGGAACGAAAGGAGGAGGAGGGGAAGGGAAGCACACTACGCAACACTCCAACACCCACCACCCCCATACCCTCCCCCCCACGGCTGCAGGGAGACGAAGGAGGAGGGGGTGGGCGGGAAGAAAGCCGCAGAGCGACTACAGAGGGTCGGCGGCAGATAGGTCAGGGGCGGCTGCAGGGAGTGCAGGCGCGGGCTGAGGCAGAGGCAACGCCGAGTGCGCCAGGGGCGGGGTACTTGGCGGTTCAGGACACCGTTGCAGGCGCCAGGGGCGGTTCCGCGGCGGCTCAAGGGCACCGTCGTGCATGCCCACGGAGCGCACGACGAGCAGGGCACAGTCGCGTGTTACGGGGCCGCACGACGGGCAAGTTTAGGGCACCATCGTATGCCTCGGGGCGCACGAATGAGCAGGGCAGCGTCGCGTGCCACGGGGCGCACGACGGGCAAGTTTAAGTTTAGGGCACCGTCGCGTGCCACGGGGCGCGCGACGGCAGAGAAGATGTCACTCGCCACCCCCGGGGCGGGACATGACGAAAATCGCCACGCGCCCTAGGCGCGCAACCGGAAAAACAGCAGCGGAAGCATAAGGCGGGCCCACAGGCTAGGACGAAACACGCTCTAATCTCATGTTAAGTAACAAGCTTAAGAGGTAGTTGAGAGTTAGGCGGCCTAGGCTTAGTCGCCTAGGCCAAGAAGAAGTCGAGTGTTTGTGCCAAGGGAGCTTATCGAGAATGGGAATGGTGTTCACTATAGCAAGAGAGTACATATAGCAAACAAGTGAAGAAAGAGGTGCACCACCTATAAAGTTCATATCTACACTACAGCTAGAACTACATGCAGGTATAAGAATATAATTCTGATAAGGTCTTGTGCCTACTTGGCCTCACTTGCTCACTTCTTGAGCCTTGCTTGTACTGTGATATTTCTATACCTGCACCTGCTTGTTTATCTTTATATATGATCTTGCATGTGAACTGGCCTTGTGGCCTTGAGCTTGTGCTCGGAATGTGTGGTGACGTTGTGATCCACCCTGAGCTTGCTTTGCTTTGCTTGACTGGTCTTGTGACCTCTTGTTCTCCCCCACTTCGCCTATGGGGGTGTGTCAAACTCATATGCTATAGTCTGTGTAGGTTGTAGTGGGGGTAGACAATATGGGGTACAACACTTTTAGGTTTTCCTACTTGTACCCACCTGCTTGCTAGTTCATCCATTCCTCGTTCTCTTCACACGTCTCCCCACTTCTTGGGGTGTGCCGGTTCGCTAGGTGTTTTTCTCCAGAGCTTCACCTAGTCTGGGGTGTGTTGGAGTAGGGTAGAGCTCGCTCTGGTCTT